TTCTGTATCCAATAGAATTGGAAGAGCCCTTTCAAGAACACTTATTACAGATGTCATAGGTCTCACAGGAAAAAGGGAACTCTCTACTACAATTTTAGTAGTTATTTAAGGGAAACTCAATTAGGAGTAATAATCAAATCAAAGTATTACATAACGTTGTGTAATTGTTTGCCTGTAATGTAGTTTTACCTGAACATTTTATTTACTAGTAGGATTATGGTATGACTGCTAAAGGCTGTCACTGTTGCATCTAGATGATATAACGCTTTTAGGAGGAGGAAAGCTTAAAATTATTTTTGTAATGTTTGATTTTCTTAAATGGAAACTGGAAAAGTTATGTGTATGCCTTCATTTATGTCCTGGACTTCCTTTTTTGCAATACATTAATGGTTCATAGTATTCATGTGCTCCTTTGTGTCTTGGTGGGTGATGGTCAAATTTTTATCTTTTATTGTACGTTAGTGGTATCCTTTCCTGGAAGATAAGCCTGGCAGTATGGGAACCAGTAATTTCAGAGTTCTCTTCAGAGAAACAGAGAATCTTGTTAAATGTATTCATATTGTGTTCATATTACTAATACATCACATTCCATATATATTTACTTCCTAGAGTCTATTTAATATTACATTTTGTAGAACCTACAATTCTTTTAATAAATACAATAACCTGTTTCTTATCTGAATAGGATCATGTGTTATAATGTAGAACAGGAGTGGAAAAGGGCAAAATGTAATCCAACAAATAAAACCAAACACCAGTATTTATAGACATTATTCTCATAGTTCTGAGTATAGCTTCAGAAAGAAGAGGTAGGATTTTAATTTTGAAAGAGCACTTTAATTGCTTTAATGTAGTTGGCGCTGAGGCTGGGATAGAATCCAAATTTGTGATCAATTAATCATAAGCAAATCTATTAAAGTACTTCTATCAATTACTCTGGGCAGTTGTTGGGGCCAGTAAGCCTGTAGTAAGCATTGAAAGGGACTTGGATACAAGAATAGCCTTGGGTTGATAAAAATTTAAATACTATTTTAAAGTACTGTTTTCTATTACATGTATTTAAAGTGTCTCAAGTTTGAAGATTGGGCTGAGGCTATTGCACAGGCCAATGTGTGAGGGGGGAAAATCATTGAACTATATGGTGTGCATCTCTGCCCTTTTTCCTGGTTTTTGTGCAATTCTGAATTAAGGGAAGGGACACATCTTCAGTGGATATAAATCAGCACTGATCAGGGTAGTGCTGATTTAAATTGATAAGGGATGCTGCTCGCTTTTTATTTGCAGGTAACATTGCGTGTTTTCTTTCAGTTTTATTTACTGAGGAGGTTTTATCTTAGAAGGGTGAAGTGACATCTTATATTCTTTTTGTTTGTTTGCATGTGTTAGTGGTCATTAATAATTAAACATAATTTTCTTCCTAGGGGGAAAAAAAAGTGAAAGAAGAAAAGCCAATCATAATGTGGCTTCAGTTAGTTATAAACCTTCCAGCTCCATACAAAGAACTAAGAAAGACATAAATGAAAGAATGAGAAAACATTTGAGTGGGAACTTAAGAAATCTTACATTTTTCCTTTTCCTGATAAATTAATGTAACCTTTTAAATACCTTGGAAATAGGAAAAGGTCAGAATGGTTTGGTTTTGTTTTTTTTTTTTAAATTTTTTTACAATTACTTTACACAGTATGGCAGTTCTTCCAGCTAAATTGAATGTCACTGCAATTAATTTTTGAGTGATTCTTTTTGCCTTCAGAGATTCAGATTAGAGATTGCTACTTTGCCATTGCCCCTCTATGTTACGTGAAGGTGATGAGAAAATGATGATATGGATGATATGGATGATGTACACAGAATTCTTTTTTCTGTCTTTAAGTGTAGCTGGATTACTAAACAAGGGACAAAGCAGAAACGGATTATCTCTACAGCATAATCTTTTTGATGTTTAAAGTTATACAGTAATATCTTTATTTTATATGAGTTCATTAAGGAAAAGATCATTTATATTTACTATAAAATGGTAGGAAACAGCATGCAAAAATCACACCTTGTAAGTATTGAGAAAAAGAATTCAGACAAAACCACTATTTGGTGTATTGTCATGGCTGCCCATGTAAGTGGATTATAATCTTATTTTGTATTCATAACAATTTACAATGTTGTCATAGCAATAAGTGAAGGATATTCTTTTCTAGATGCTTACTGACATGTTCTTTTATTGTTGATTAGAATCATCATAGTTTAGATAAACTTACTTTAAACTCATTTCTCAAATTTTAAGGAGCAAGTCAGTTGTCAGGACTTACTTTGGTATGAAAACTTGTGTGTATGTTTTTCAATGGGAATTATTATTCATAAGTATGCGTTATTCCTAGGATATTCTGCACTAGAAGTTATCTGCATAGATGATGCCATGAGTATAGATAAGGATTTTAATTCAAACACTTCCCTCAAATGTTGCCTTATCTCCAACTCAGTTGATGTACTTGTAGAGGGCAGTAACAAGCAAGCTGTGCTGGTTGCAGAGAAGAACTTAATTTTGAGACTGGATGAAAGCGAGGAAGACAGCAATTCCAAGTCTAATGAGGTAACAGATGTAGAGACAAAACTGCCAAAAGAATAAGTTATTTTAGTTTTATCCTAAAATGATGTAATTTTTAAAAGTCCAAACAACTAGCTTAGGAGAATGGCCCCCTCCCCCATTCTAGCTCCTGTTATCTAACAGCCTAAATATAGTAAACAACTTTATTGCAGTATGCCAAAGCAAGTTGAATGTTAAATGGCATGTACTTTTCTTTTTTAAAATCTTAATTATATCAAATGGTCAGAATTATTGTGTTTCTTTTGTATCATCCACAACCATCCTTCTGTAGGATTCTGTAATTGCTACTTTAACAGACTTTCCTCATCTTTAGAGGATGTGTGGGTTGTCTGAAGATTTCCTATGGTAATGATTTTGTATCCTTTTACCTTATTGCTTTTTGCAAATTCTACCTTTAGGGAATGTGACTTATACAAGATAAGCCATTCCATTTTTCCTGGTAATCTTGTGGTTAGTTGTCCTGTCACAATCCAAATTGTGATACCAACTTGACAGATCACAAATATGTTTCAACCTTGTGGTTTTAAACTAGTGCAAGAGCTTAAACATGTTTCAGCTTGTTTTTTAAAGGTTTGTTTGTATTGTCTTGTACCTGGCAATACAGTACCGGATCTCAGTATAGTATCATATTGTGCATTTGTTGTAGAAACAAGTTCACATATGGATTGGTCATACAGAAGGTGTATATTTAGGGAGTGCACATATTTAAGATTAGAATATTTTCCTCAGTTTTGTCATGCTTGTTCCCTCAGTGCATAAAAAACCAGACATATGAGCAGTTGTTGATAATTCCTTTCTGTACCATGGTAGCTTTAAAACACAAATAAATATTCTGCAATAATGTAATTATCCCTAATTTGCTTTCAATAGGGAGCTTTAAGAGTGCAGAATTTTTTTATTAAATTTCTGTCAAACTACGTAGTTGCTTCTTCCACTTCTCCCACCCGCCTCTGAAAAAAGGGGCTTAAATGCTGTGCTTCGTGTGATATACCTTTCTGATGCTCACATTAGGTATTTATTCCCTTCAAATGTTCCAGTGAAAATGGACTTTTCCTCAGTTCCTGAATTTTTATTGGTATTTAATTATCCAGACCTGAGAGACATTAAAGATAATGACATCTCAATAGGATCTTCAGAATGCTGTCATTTCTGGTTTAGGGTGAAGATACTCCCTCTAACCACTATTTTCTCTATGCTAGAGGTATCTTTCGTCTGGCAAAGGGTCTTTCCATATGGTACCTTGAAACTCTGTGTATATGTGTGTGGAGAGAATATCCCTTTCTTTTTATGCTCATATTCCATTATGAATGAAGAATCATCTTCATGTTCTGCAAGAATTCTATATTCTTTACAGTTCTCAAGACTTTTCATTACACATCTGCTTCTTTTTTTCCTTTTCAGGGTCAGCTCTTACAAAAGTCTTACAGAAGGTGGAATAATTTTTAACCCTTGGATCCACCAGAAGTGTCATTTCTCTAGGCATGAGAGGGGTTTTTATTTTCCCTGCATTAATTTCTAATTTGTGAGGCAAATAGAAGATAGCATCTAATTTCTATTCTTTAATAATTTCAGTTTATTAATATGTGGATTAGAGTTGAGATGGTGAGCCAACCTCAGTAATACCCTCAGGGCTGATGTATGGCTCATAGATTTCAGGATACATATTTCCATACTTCTCCTGTGCTCACATAGCAGAGATTTCACAAATGGATGTTACAGTTTCTAGTGTTGTTTTAGGTGACCAGCAGTTTAGAATGCCAGAGTTGTCATAAAAAATTATCATGATGGTACATTTAAGAAGCTAGGATCTTTTTCTGAGTCCAGAAAATACATTGAAATCATCTTGTGCCAATAGGTGGGAAGACTTAACTTAAGAGTGGAGTTCCAGTGCTGGAGCTCTGGTCCTCTAAGAATATATGGCCAGCATTCAAGACCAGAATGTACTTTGTGAATACAAAAAGTGGGCAGAACTTGAGTCTTGTGAAGGCACATCCCTCGATTAGGCTTTGCTTGTGTGCCAGTCAATCCAGCAAATGGTCATGGTTTTCCAGTTTCTCACAGGAAATGAGTCAAGCTGCTGCAAATACTGTTTTCACAAGTAAACCCTAGGGTTGGTCTTGTCAATGAGTGGAAGTCTTGTAAACAGCACAGTTTAACACCAGGTTGAACCTGTGTGCTGCAGCTGTGTTATGCACTGTTTTTCTCCTATGGGATTGAAGTTTTAAAATCTTTATTTATGTTAATATGTTTAATTTCTTCTGGCTTTAAGAAAATGCCAAGAAGGCTTATCAGCAAAACAGTATGGAACAAAAATGGGAGGAGACCTGAATTGTTAATGCAAATGATTTATCAAATAACAATTATATTTTCAAATCATATAATTTCTTTATTTTCTATATCCTAGGATACCAGATGGTCCCATTGATCAGGGACCAGCTGCAGGAAAGGTACATGCTTTAGAGGAGCAACTTTTAAAGGCCAAAGAACAGATAGAAAACTATAAGAAGCGGACAGGAAATGGTTGGTAGATAAGTTTGCTTTTACTTCTAAAACAAGTTTTGGTATTCGGTATCACAAATGTATTAGTTTCTTAACAAATAATTTAGCTACAAGTGCTGATGCTTTTATGCCTTTTTTTTTTTTTAAGTAGGAGGCCTTGGAAAAGACCATGAAATATTGAGGAGGAGGATTGAAAATGGGGCTAAGGAACTTTGGTTTTTCCTCCAGAGTGAATTGAAGAAGTTGAAAAATCTAGAAGGAAGTGAACTACAAAGACGCATTGATGAATTTCTGTCTGATTTGGGTCATCAGGAAAGGTACTTGTATTAGTTGATTCTGTATATATGTTGTAAGGATTATGGGTTGAGTTAAGTAAACTACTGATATACTGCTTAAAAATATCTTAGGATAAATTAATGGTATGTGGGCTAAAATATTGTCTGAAGCATAAACGTAAAATTATTACTAGTATTCAATGGGAGATAAAGTATATATCCAGCTTATGTCATTACAACTTAGAGTATGACCCTTTAACTTGACATATTTTCATTTTTTTTACCGGAATACCTGGGTCCTGGATGCCAGTTGTTGCTTTTCAGTTGCATCTATCTATATATGCGTGTATGTGCATACTTGTACATATAACAAAACCATTAAAAAAAATTAAAATATTTATTTTAGGTATCTGATTGTGCCTTTCATAAATACTAGAATATAAGTTGTATTGATCATTGGGATATTATATAATTGGATTTACTTTAAAATGGGGTAATATCTTAATATCAGGACTAATTGTCATCTGAAAAGTCACTTCTTTTTGTAATTAGAATTACACTGTCATTATTATGTTGTTCAAAGATGTGTTGGAATTATATTTTAAGTTGTTGATCTTCTGGCCTCCCCATTGTTGAAGTGCCTTTTGTATTATACTAAAACAGTCTGTATGAGTTTTGTTCACGCTGAACAAAATTAATCCAGGAAATGTTAAAAATTCAGTAAAATCTGTCTGTAAGCCTATTATATTTATAACTCTGTTCCCAACAGGATTGCAATGGCAATTTGTGTCTCGTTAGTAAACAGTCATAAGAAAATGGTTGAATTAACTAAATATACCACCTTAAACAAGTATCTCTTTCCCAAAAAAGCTGAGATCCGCATGTGTGAACATCAGCAGTAAAGCATGAGCCTTCGAAAATAATACAGTAGTAAAAGGAAAAAATAGTAAGAATTTTCAATTCTTTGGAAATAATGTAAACATTATTTAAAACATAGTTTAAAAATAATCTGAATTTGATTATTAATGTGGGCAAATAACTTAGTCCATTAAATTTTGTAATTTAATCTTCCACAATTCCAAAACCCAGTTTGTCACAGATTGATGGAGTTTAAAGTGAGAAGGGACTATTCAATTATTGAGAGTTAATAATAAAATAGGCGATTACATTTCATTCAATTATTTCTCTTCTGAGTGCAATTATGTATGTTTGACTGAAATAAAAGTAGTGCTTGGCTGAAGCAGAATTTTCCAAAAGACTTGAGATCTTCAATTATAAACAGTCAACTGACAGAGAAACTACCACTTCCCTGGACAGTTTGTTTCAATAGTTACCTCCACTCAGAAATGTTTGTTCTCCAGAGAAGTTATTTCTGTTTGGGTTTCTTGGATTTCAGGTAATTGATTCCTGGTGTACCTTTTAAACTATCTGTGCCAAAACTGGAGCAAGTAGTCTAATGCCAGACTTACTGATGTCCATCATGGGAAGTTATGAGATGAATTCCACTGTGGAAGCCTGAAACCACTGTGGTACTGGAATAAGTTTGTATATGATGCAAGCAATCACAGCTGCTCTTTTTTTTTTTCTTTATTTAAGAATTTTCTTGTTGAATAAAAGTATTCTTTAGACTGACACAATAGTTATCAAAAGCAGAAATGTCCTGGAGTCAGTTGAGCCTTAGTAGTAGATCTGTGTAGACCTTCCTGTGTGGTGAGGTCCCCAAAGAAGACTAAAGTCATTTAGGCTAAAACCAAGCAGCCAGAAACTAGGTTTTATTAAAATAAAATGTAGAAATTTTTTTTACAATATGGAAATTCAAAGCAATTACATAAGAGAAAACAATATACAAACATGTCTCTACAAGACAAGATACAAAAATGTCTCTACAATATTCAGCTTGTCTTCTTGGTGTATTTACAGCATTGGCTTTGGGCAATAAAATTATCTTGTGTTGCAGAATGCTCTTCTGGGTTGCCTCTAGTTCTGCAGATGTTTGTTCTTTCACCTTTGAGGTCAGGCTGTCTGCTTCTTTCCCATTAATCTTTCAGTCTTGCTGCGTGAGTTGCAGGAAAACTCCCAGCTCCTTGTGTGCGCATCCTTTGGCCTGTGATGCACTGCTGTCTCTGGGGTATTCTTTTCCCTCGGGATGCACCGTAGCTCCTGAGGGAAGGAGCGGTCTCTTTTTCCCTCCACACAGTCCATCTGGTCTCTTCCCCTGAAAGGAACATAACTAAATTTAGAATGAGCAAATCAGATGCTGTCCTTCACTCTGAGAATCACAGCTTTTTGGTGGGGATTTTTGTTATTGCTGGGTTGTTTGGGTTTTTTTGAAGTACATGTGGACTTGTTGATTTTTTTAAGGGATTTAACAGGTTGCCGAATGCCCTTTTGTTGCCGGTGATGTCTTAAAAAATTGTTACCTGTGTATCTTAGATAAATGGAACATTGCATGTGAAGCTGGTATTATTTATTTTTACATATTTATTTATTTATATAAAGCTATATCTTAGATATTTTAATGTATATTATAATCTAATATTTGGATTAGAAAGATTAGTGTTAATTATAAGTACTTAAGGCAGTTTGTAATGCCCTCCTTGTGTGGAAAAGCAGATAAAGGGGTGGGTAGTGATCAAATGATGAGATAGCTATGTAAGGAACGTGGCTAATATTTTGTTTGTTTGTGAGGAAAGCCTGTTGTGTCATAGAGAAGACTTGCTTTTTAAGAGATGATAGACTTAAAGACAGTTTCTGTGACTCTGGATAAGTAGTATTAGAGTTCTTTGTTAATCTTGGTGCTGTTATGCAAATGGTCTACTACTAATATGATGTCACTTCTCTTGTTGGATGCCTTAGTCACTATTTCTTGGCTGTGTCCTAGGGGGTGTGTAGATTTTCTTCTGGAGAATGCCAGTCTTAGAGATGTTTTTGTCCAGTATTTCACTCCTGATTCTGTTTAAGAAACAATGTATCCCAATGCAGCATTTCCTGCAGTATGGAATGTGTAATTGTATTCTTGTAGTTGCCATAGGGAAGAGTTGTTCCGAGTAACTTCATCTTGACAATAGAAAGACTATTTGGTATAGAGTTATCAAAAAAGAACAGATTAATCCTCTTGTTGTCATGGTTGTTTCCTATGTTGGCATTACGCTGTTTGCGAAGTGGCTGTTACTGAGTTAGTTTCATTCCTTCTCCTCCTGGGGAACAACAGCTGTCATCAGGGCTTTTGTGGTAGCTGGCCAAGGTTTGATGCATAGTGTTTGGGCATATTTTCACATTATTTCCTTTGACTTTGGTTGAACATATCACATTTTTTTTCTTTGAGTTTTTATTTGTTGATATAAAGTTTCTAGGAGGTTTAAATGTAATTTTGTAATTTGGAATAAATGTCTATGCTGATCTTTAAAAATGTGTTAAAAATGCCTGCCTTCCCCTCTTTATTTGTGACAATCAAATGCAAATGAAATAAGTAGCCAGATTCTGTACTCCATTCTGTTTTCTGGGAGCAAAATGCTTTTAAGAGCAGCCCCAAGATTTAATTTATGATATGAAACAAAAATAACAACAACAAATTGATATTGCTGGTTAGTAACACAATGAAAGACCAAGTTTGACTTACTAAATATCTGCAACGCCATGGACTGAAATTGCATTTCTGCCATTTTACTACCCACAATAGCCTTCAATAATCCTCTGCAGGCTCATCTTTTGTCTGCACTTAGCTATCTTGGGCTCATGGATCACTGGTCCATCTACTTTTTAGCTCTCCGCATGAAGCCTGATTCTGGTCTGTGTCTCTTCTAAATCTCTATTAATAAGCCATCATGATGGTCTGCCACACTTAAAAGAACTTAGCAGATGTAAACCTAAAAAATGCACATTTCGCAGCAGGAGCAATCAAAGAAAGAGGGTCTCCATGACTGAAAGTGTGTTAAAATTGCACTACCCTATAATCATTTCTGTGTGATAACGCCTGTGAATTTTTCAGTTCCTGGTTTACTTCAGAGTTTTATGAGAGTAAATTTTTTTAAAAAAAGATTGTGGATAATATCTGAAAACTCTTGTATGAATTCATAAAATTTCCCATGAATTATTTGATATTCTTTATGGTTGGTACTGAGCAAAGCTGCCTTTCCCTAAAGTGTTGAGTCACTGAGGTTGTGTAAGGACTCTTTCATCATTCCTCTTACCTCAAAAATGATGGAAAATAATTATATTTCATCTGTAAGACTTATTATTTAAACTTACCTACTGCCTTTGCTTTGTCATGGTCACCATGGCCAACAATGTAAGAAATAAAATTTGGACAACACTTTTTTTTTCCTTAGAAATAGGAAAAATTACTTAACTGCTGAGAGGGAAAACTTTTTTGTATTGGTAGGCTTTGTATTTTCAGTTATTTTATGCCAAAATTTAATAGAAATATGTTTCTATAAAGTAAAAGGAGAATATGCTGATTACTTATATCGCAAGTACAGAAAAGACCTTTAAGGCCAGTGTAAGAGAGCATTTGAAAATTGTTTTCAATCTGGCTGTGGTTGCACAGCTGCTTTTAATGATAGCACAGGATTGGTTTTTTTTAATGTTTAGACCTCAAATTTATAGTTTTTCTTTAAAGATCCAGCATGGTTGCATCCTGATTGGGAAGAAAAATATATTTAAACTCCCAAGAAAATGTATGGGTTTCCTTTTTTAATTTGCCTACTAGCCTGTAATGCTTTCTGTAAATTGGAAAACACTGCTTTAAGAGAAGCAGATTCTTTGTCTGTTCAGTTATTTGTATACAATCCATTGTATTAGATTTACTGCATCATTAATTCTGTTCTAATTGTCCCTAAACTGTGTTTGCATGTTATCTTGAGTATTATGCATCTTTCAAAGTTAGTGATTCGAAACTAGTTACCTAATAATACTTTAAATTGTTTATTTTTCGTACAAAGCCAGAGTAGGGTGTTTCAAGCTCAGTTACCTTGTAAAGAAAATCCAGTTTATATAGTTTGAGATTAGAATGTAAATATGGTACTTCCAATTGATTGACAGAAGGTGATCATTACTGCTGCTGAACAATTTGGATATAATGTTTAATACAGCAACAGTAGATGATATATTAAGGTAGTGTCACTGTTAATCCTGTGTAGAAGTATGGATATGAAAAACAGAATGAGTGTATGAGAATGGAAAGATATGGATCCATAAATCTGGTTATTAGCAAGAGAAGGTTGTCTGATAACTCTGCTGATGAAGATAGCTCTGTCCCAATTTGATTTATCTCAATATTTACCACTTAAATACTGTGTCATTGGGAGTAGTTACCTAATAGAGATATGTCGTCTGCTCCTCTCTCACTTGCCAAGCTTATTTACAAGGGATAGCCTTAGCAAACTAGGTTTGTGGTTCCAGTACTAGCAAGTGCTCCCAACAACAGTGTCTTGTATTACTTCACTGACAAGACCACTTCAAACGTTGTTAGGAAATATGCTTGTCTTCCCCTCACACTCTTTTTTGTCACCTCCCAAATTTCTCTGCCTTTGTTCTGTTGCATCTCTTCCTAGTGATCAAAATTGTGGCTTATCAAGAATTTCAGGCAATAAATTGCAATGTCTGAAGTTTAGATGAAAGAATTAAGAAAAGTGGTTCAAACTTAAAACTTTAGCATTGTTATGGAGAAATGTTTAGGAACTTTAAATATTCTCAGTCTATAAAGCCAACTCTGAAATTATTGGTTCTGAATTGGGCTACCTTTTACTTGCAGAATAGTCACTGATGTTTTTACAAATATTTTGAATAGTTTGCCTCTAGTCTTGTATTTCCTCCCAAAAGCCACAGATAAAAAAAATCTTTTCCTGGGTGTTACTGTTTGGACTGTTTTTCACAAAATTCCTGGCTAATCTCAGAAAATAAATGTCATATACCATTTTTCTTCTCATGACATGGAGTTCTTTATCCTCTTATTTGGTCATCAAAATGTGATAACCCTAAGAAGAGGATCTCTAGTGTATTAGGTAACCTCAATTTAATATTTGATAGTCCCTCAAAATTAATGTTTTGTAGCCTAGACTTGTAATATGGCCATGAGTCTGTTTTGAATTTCTTTCCATTTGAGTATTAGTAGCATGCAGTCATTCTAAGCAGGTAGAACGCTTCCTTCTTCCAGAGTCAGAAGGAGCTACATGCCATAGAAAACACTGTTTACTAAACCTTGTAATAATATTCTGTAGTTAGTTTTCACTAATAAAAATAGAAGGATTACTGTTGTACCTGTGCTAAAGATATTTGTAATATTTTATTCTATACAAGCATAGTAAGATGATTGTAGGAGGCAAAGTAACAATGCATTATAATAGAAGCTACTATGGAATCACTACTGCACTTTCATCTGGGGCCACTGGATAATGTATCTAGCATGGAACTATTCTTTCTTTTTAGTTTCCTTTAGCACATACCAGAAACAAATGCTTTACAGCAGTTTTTCTAACCCATCTCCTGTTTAATACTATAATTACTCATTGGTATGGAACATATGTTAAATGGAGGACACAGTCAGTCTTTCTTGGCTACTGTTTGGATTGTGGGGTAGGAGGTAGCATGAAGAAACTGTTTTTGAGGCTATAATTGAAATATCTGTTTAATTTGTCTTTGATTTCATCTAATCCTCCAATTTAGTAATGTTAAGATTGTTTCCTATTTTTTTAAGATTGTTTTCCATTGTTATTTACAGGTCAATAATGACCGACTTGTACTACCTCAGTCAAACAGATGGAGCAGGAGACTGGCGAGAAAAAGAGGCCAAAGATCTAACAGATTTGGTACAGAGGAGAATAACTTATCTACAGGTAAGAGGGTAGAGCTTTTAAATCAAGGTAAACATTTATTTGTTTATTTATTTTAATATATATATATGTATATATCACTTAACTATACCCTTGTAATAGAACAATTACCTGACAGTTTTAAGTGAATGTTTGTACATGAATGAATTACATACAAAAGAAATTAGAATGTTTGTTTCAAACATTGTGTTACATGTATATGGAATGATAGTATTTCAAGTAAATCTTTGGTTTTGGGGGTTTTGTTGGGTTTTTTTTGTTTGTTTTTTGGATCTGTGGTTTTCACTGGGCTGTACTTACATATTTTGATTCTTTGTTTTATTATAAAAGATAAGTCTCTGGTTTCTATTTTTGATTCTTTAGAGTATCAGAATGCATACATATGTTTGCACAGTGTTAAAAATAAAAATATGAAAGTCCTTGTATGAAACTTCTGAACAAGCAGCCCATTTTTAAAAATATGAGTATGCAAAATGGAAGTGCTTGTATAGTGTATTGTCCAGTCCTAAAATACTTCAACAGTTGTGTGAGACTTCTCATAGATGCTCATATTTGTGAGTGCATAAAGCCTTTTTAATGTATGTACTTGTGTGTGTATATAAAATTTAAACAAAACTTGTTCCAAAGGTTTGGGGACTTTTATTCATGTATGAATGCATGCAGCTATTTATATAGCGAGCAAAAAGATATTTGATGTAGTCTGTTTCATTTGTACTTGGTTTGTTTTTCTTTGCATGTGTGCACCTCACTGCTCTGTTTTGCATGGTCACCCCTAATGTCTGATCTTTTCTCTATGTAAATAACTGAATTTGTTTCTCAGATTTTCATTATTTCACATTTCACAGTTCAGCTATTGGAACCTTCTCTTCTGTGACCAAGCTGTGTATTTGTTGCCTGTTAAATAAAAAGGACACCCTTCCGTGGAAAAAACTCCCTGTAAATTATACAGGAGACATCACTTTATTGTCTTCCTTCAACTCCTTCTTGAGAACTGTTTCTCATTCTTTCATTTTCAAGCGGGGGAGGGACTTTTTACAAGGGCATGTCGTGACAGGACAAGGGGTAATGGTTTTAAACTGAAAGAGGGTAGATTTAGATTAGATATGAGGAAGAAATTCTTCACTATGAGGGTGGTGAGGCACTGGAATAGGTTGCCCAGAGAAGTTGTGGATGCCCCATCCCTGGAAGTATTCAAGGCCAGGTTGGATGGGGCTTTGAGCAACCTGGTCTAGTGGAAGGTGTCCCTGCCCATGGCAGGGGGGTTGGAAGTAGATGATCTTTAAGGTCCCTTCCAACCCAAGCCATTCTATGATTCTTGATGTCACTGTTTGACAATGGTGTAGTGTCACTACTTTTCATGCTGATAAATATTGCTTTTCTCTACCTTTTTCTCTTCTTTCATCGTATCCATTTGTTGTCTTATCTAAGCATGTATACGTTTCTGGAGAGTGATTCACTTCCTACTGTATCTTTTACAGTGTTCAGGGCCTTAGTTCAAAACCAGGACCTCCAAGTACATACAATGAATAACTAAAGTAAGAGGAGTTTAGGAGAACAGCAGCTCAAAATTGAAGCATTAAATAAATGCTTACATTGTTTTCTAGGGAATTTGAAATAAATTTACTTACTGAGCAAGGAGCTGGGAGCCCAATTAGGTCCTCCTAAAACTAGATGATAAAGGGCTTTCTCTCTATAGAGGTAATTTTCTTATTTAAAAAAAGTAGAAACAATATTAAAAATGAAACCAGTGCCAAGTCACAACACATCTAGAATCCTAATCTTTCATAGTTGTAGCACAACTAGTTAAAGCTTTTCAGAAAGTGTATTATATCCTCAGGCACTACCAAGAAAGGTAACTTTATCCTTATTATCTTGAGCGGGAAACCTGATGATGAGCATGAGCAGAAAGTTGTGGTATTAGATTCAGATTCAGAATTAGAAGTAGGTCTAACATACTTGGCTCAATTTCAATCATACAGGCCATTTTTGTTTCTGGTTTATGTATGAATTTGTTAAAAAGGAATCAATAATAAAATTTCTGTCATGGGACAAACAGTGTTTTTTCATATTTATGCATTTAAAAAATAAAATTAATCGTTATAGATTCATCCCGTAACACTGAGATACACATAAGAAAATCAGTATTTCCCTCCTTTTTTTCTTGTATTTTTTTAAGTTCTAGTATTTTCTGTACTACAGAGTAAATTACATTGTTTGTTGTTTTTAGTAAGTCATCACTGGTAGATTATAGAAATTAGAAACATATGAACGTATTACTGCTGCGCATCAAATTCCATATGACTGTTTCACATGGAAGGATCTAGAAACTATAGAGAAAGGGACACGTGTTTCCTTAGTAACTGTCTTTGAGGTTTAAGTTGAAGAATGGTGATACGTGTTTTCCAAAAAATGTAATTCTAGCTTTGATAAATGTTGATATTTTTAGCATTATAATGGTGCAGGTCATCAAAAATAGCACTAAATTCTTGGGTTTAGTAAATATGCAGCAACACATTAAATTATTCGGGTATTTTATGAACCATAGAATATTATACTGTTTATTCTATATGTCTTTTAGGTTAGTTGAAACATTTTAGCTGTATTGGATGCTCAGTTTTTGTTGTACTAAGATGTGAAATAGAAATATGTGATGAGCCTTCTCTCACGAAACTATTCTTCCTTTCATATGCTTACTGTGTTTCTTTTTATTAATCTCTTTTCAGGCTAAACATACCTAAAATTTTCAATCATTCTTCTTCATGTGTGAGAATTTATACCACCTTTAATTTTTTCTTCCTGATATCTTCCCTTAACACTAATTCTTCACCAGGCTATTAGAAGTGAGCATCCACTAGCTGACAAATGACAATAGACTGTTGATTTATAGAATAGTACCAAAATATGTTTTTTTTCTTGCCTTGTTTTTTATGTAGTCTAAGGTACTACTTAGCTAATAATAGGTCTCCCTTGAGTTCATGTCACTATGGAACTATTGAAGATGCCCAAGATTTTTAATTCAGCTGAATTTTGAAACTTGACTATTTTTTCTTCTGCTATGCTTACTTTAAATTTAGTTATCAATACAAAATTTCACTTGTCATGCGTCATGCTTACTTTGGTTAGTTTCTTCTGGAATTCATGACAATCTTCTCTAGACTTGACTAAATTAAATTTTCTTAGACTTTTAATTTAACGGCTTTGCTTCTTACCAGTTCTTCCATGTTTCATGCATGAAAGTACTAGTCCCGCTAAGATAACTAGAGGCCATTTCTCTGTGTGTTGGCATTTCTTGCTCCTTTTTATAACCTGGTTTTGATCTTTGACTGCACTTTGTCCGTTACTCCATGACTACTTTTGTTTCTTTGGAGGTTGTTTGCTAAAAGACCAAAAGAACAATTAAAAAAAAAAATCAGAAAAATTACATTGTAGCAAGAAACTGTGGATAGGATGGTTTAATGCCTACATATGTTTATGGATGATCATGTACCTCGAGGTGTATACTGTTACCATCATTCATAGAAAAGATTCAAACCCCAAGGCATGGAATTCTCAATGTGTGCCACATTGCCCAAAGTTGGGATGGAAACCTAGCCAACTCTTCAAAGATAGGAAATATTCTTTCTCATGAGTAGTTACAGTCTTTGAGATGGGTCATTCACATATACAATTACTACCATCTCTCTTTTCCTTTTTATTGTCATTCTTCTGTCTGAAAAAAACCAAGGATGCAGTGTCTTGCCTACATGCCTGTAAGCCAGACATAAGCTTTTGGAGCCCTTCTGAAGATTAAAATATCTCCTGTCTTGAATGATTGTTGCAAGTCATGTTCCAAAACTGGAATATGTCTGTGACTACACATTTGGAAGTCAAGTTGACTTATTTTCTAGTGTGGTTTTCAGGATTTTGAAGAGTGCAGGGCTGACTGTGAGTATGCAATATAAAGCAGTCCATGGTCTGAAATTACACATATACACCTCTATTCATAATATAACTGTATTAAAAAATAAAATAAAATAAGAAATTCAACAACCCTTGCCCCCCAGCTCCATGCCAAAAAGAAGTATCTGGAACATATTTGTAATTTTTTTTTTTTTTTTGTGAAGAATAAAAGTACTGTATAGTTTTCTTCCTGGTACATCTTGAACAGTGACAGCTGCATTATTTTGGGACATCTCCCTGGGAGATCATTTAGCTGAATGATTGTGAATAGTGATGACTGCTACTTCATTTGGATGGTATTACCATAAATTTGATTTAATGAGGCTACATTTAGCTAGTTCCCTGTAGTTAGAGCAACACTTAAAAAGCTAGAAGTTTACATTTAAGCAAAAGACCTTATTTTCAGAGATGTTCATTATCAAACGATTGAAAAGAATGTGCAGGAGAAGTCAGACAAGGGCTCCTGTAGTACTGTGTATTCTGGAAGTGGTAGAGTGAGTAAATGATTATGAAGGCAGCAGTTTGTTTTCTTCCCCTTTCCTTTTGTGCTTATTTTTGTTCTATTTATTTTGCGAAGTTTGTGATTCAGCACACAGTCTCCCAATAGCAGAATATTTTTGCCTCCAATTTTTTAAAAAATCAAAACATTTTCTTCAACTTTGAAGGTTAAAAATGTAAGCAGGTGAGAAAGTTTACTAAGTACTCAGCAACATCATCAATTATATTAGTCATAATTTGCCATATTCATACTAGTTAGTTGGGGTTGTGTATGCATGCAAAGAAAAGAAAGTTGCTTACAAGACTTTATTCTGAGGTTTCTAGTTTTCCCAGTATTTTTGGTGATTTAATATGTCACTTAAATTTTTCTGTCTTAAAGTGTATTAAGTCCTCTCATATCTTTTCCCAGTTATTCCATTTCAGTCATGAGAAACACATTGTAGCGTGTTGTGGCAGTTGTAGTGTGCTGTTGGTGTTGATAAATTCAAACTAATGTGAAACAATTAAGCGCTCCATCAGCATTTACTTTTTTTATGGGGAAGGAGAACACTAGCCCCGAAGGACTT